AAAAAAAAAAAAAAAAAAAAAAAACATGTATGTCACTATTTATTAAGTGTCATGGTATGAGTAGCACTGCTGGGATAATTGGAAACACTACACTCTATTAGTCAACAAACAAATATAATTTGAACATCAAGAAAAGCCTGGCATAGTCAACAAAACATTCAAATAATGCTCTGGTTAGCCTGTTCATGGTTAGCTCTCTATTATGGATAATGAAATGGTAACATGATTTAGTTAAAAGAGGGGGGTGAATGGGTTTTTGGATCGACGGATTTGGCTTTAAAAACTGCACGGATTGTGGATTTTTGTGGTAAATCAAGCGGATTCGTGGTAAATGGAGTGGATTCGTGGATTTTGAAAACACAGTGGATCATGGATCAGCTATGAATTTTGGCACAGATTCTGGATAGTGCCTGTCTTGATGTTTTGATCTTGGGTCCTAAACAAAATTTGGATCATAGATCTTTCTTCAGCTCCTTGGTCGGTATGTTAATGAGTTCATCCAAATTGTTTCTTTTTTCGAACAAAGCTTATTTGAACTCAGCTGTGAGACTGTTATTGGAATTGTACTGTGTTACAGTCATCAAGCATGTTGCCTTCTTTACTACATTGTATTTGTGTGAAATTACTAGTAACAATGGCATTCACATTTACCTTTCCAGATGTAATTGTGGTTTTAGGTTTGAACAAAAATATTGGCGGATCGACGGATTTGGCAAAAAAAAGGGACGGATCCATGGATTTCTATACCTCTATTCACCCCCCTCTTAAAAAGTATACAGTCTGCAGTCTGTATTTTCCCCTCAGTCTGCATTTTACCCCAAATCTGCAGTCTGCAGTCTGCAGTCTGAATTTTACACTGACCGCTTTCCAATTGCACAATCTCATAATGTGCAGAACATGTGCATACTAAGAGAGAGGCACTATCTTTTTTTAACATTATAATACAGGTAATAACAATAGTAATATCTTTATTTATCCTGATAAGAAAAAAAAACGATCAGCTGAACCTAAGGGAGCAGCTGGTATTATCATCATAATTATAATGTATTATACACTTGTAGTTGTTTGTTTGTTTTTATTTTTAAAGTAGCATTCATACCCCCGAGCAAGAGGTTCTTCATCATTCTTCTTGATCTTCATCCCAGGCTCTGATTTCTTCTTTATGTATTTGATAAATCTGGAAAGTTCTTGTTCAAATGCCACCAACACCGGACTGATCTGTTTGTGGTCTAAATTTGAGTAAGGATCAAGAACGAGGAACAGCTTTAATAAACATAAGTGAGGGACACTCGCCGTGCTCAAGTGCAAATCTGCGAATCTGAGTCCCTTCTCGTGTCAATGGCATCAATGACACACTCGCTAGATCATGAACTGCAAAATTGTTGTGTTGTAAAAAAATATATATATTAAGGGTTGTCTTTAACATAATTATGGCAAACTTCGTCTGAAAATGAAAAGGAAATTTTCCCAGCCATGGGTATAAAAAGAGCCTCGTTAGCTATTAACTAACAAGCTAAGGATGAATTGCAGTGATCCACCCTGTACAATCTCTACTGTATATGTATGTGTGTACTTGAGCTCTCGATGATTAACGTGCTTATACCTCCGGTACTTGTTCCAGCGGATTGCAGCACATTTCGTGCGCTTCCACCAGCAAAAGACTTCTTTAAATCTGCTTCGCTTTTCCCTGACCCTGGCTGTTCCATGTTAGATAAAGATCTAGCCCTTATAACGTTATGACAGCTTGGTCTTTCAGCTGAGTTTTGTATGTTGACAAGACGCCATCTTGGACAAAGCTCGCGTTTCTAAGGGCTTAGTAACCTCTCCTCCTAGCAAATCATTATGCTGTGCGGGGATCGGGTAAGGCAGCCAAATCGCCCGAGTCTACCCCCGCGAAGTAAAATTTTAAGCCCCCACCAGCCAATGTTAGCATCAAAATTTCCAAGTTGCCTTTTTATATTTTACCTCAAAACGAGTCTTCGTGCGAAAAAGGTGTTCCGCCTACTGGTTCATTTTCATGCAATGAAAGGTTTCGCTGGAAGACCCGTTTTTAAAACACGCCGTCTATGTATTTTCCTTCTAACAAGTATCATTTCTGGTCCCATCTGGCAATCGTTGTATGTCGGATCGATAGATCTTTGAAATTTTGTCAAAGGGGAGGAGGGGGCGGTGGCTGGTGAAATCCTGATCACCTTATCGCTTGGTCATAGCAACTGGGACGGTGTAGAAGGGCGTGAAATATTAGGGACTGTTAGTCTCCTTTACAGCGGTTATTTAATCGTCATGCAACGCTTGAAGTGTTGCCTGACGACTCAAGTAGCGGCTGCAGAGTAGACCATGTTGTAGTTTGGGTTTGTTCACTTGCACGCAGGTAGACCTAAGACACCGAGCGTGACGCGAAGAACGAAGGGATGAAAAATCGCAGCGTGAGGGCCAGGGGGACAAGATCAAGAAAGCGCTTTCTAAAGATAACAGAAAAGAAACTAAGCGATTCCTATTTTCTATTAAGGGTTTCTTTGTAACATTTTAAACTTCAATATTTTAAAACAGCATCAATCTCCTCCAACTAATACAAAAGGCTTCAATTTTAAGATTGAGTGGACTTAAAGCCGTGGCCAAACGGACCCGCAATTAGTCGCAAGTAGTCTCAAGTTGAACTTCTGTAGAGACTTCCGTTGGCTGCCCAAACAGACTCGCAAGTTTCCAAGCACATACACTTAAGTCGCAAAGAAACACATTTCAAGGCTACTGACTTTGTCTCACGCGGTCAAAATCCTGTATCATTGACTGGCTAATAGCTTCCTAAACAACTCGCGACTTGCGACTTGCGACTTGCAACTTGCAACTTGCGACTTGGGTTGAGTAGTCGGCCAAACGGAGGGCAAGTCATCGTTAGTCAACGCAATTCCACGCAAGGCCTGGCTAACTCAAGTTTTCAACTTGCGCCTGCTTGGACTGGCGTCCGTTTGGCCAGGCCTTAACCCTTCTGTGTTTGCTGCGGGCCTCGTAAGTGAATCTGGCCATGATCAGTAGGACAAATTTTGTAACGCACTACCTCCGTACATTCTGTTTTTATTCGCTCCATTTATAGTTTCAAACATGAAACTATCATGACGAGCTTAGGTTTTGCAAATATCATCGTTTTGGTAAGTAAAAATACTGTCCTGAAAAACTGAAAATGCCTGTGATAAAGTACGTAAAAATCTGCTGTTATACTTCAACTCTTACTTTTCCCTTAGCAGAGCGGTATTTGAAAATACGCGGAGTAGAACCAGCGACAGCAACAAGAGCAAGTCACAAAATGAACCAAGGGATACATTGCCCAAATTTCCTCAAACTTAACTTGATATCACAGCTGCGTGATATCTTACACCGAGAGTTGAAAAATGGCCCTTGTTTCAACGCTTGGATTTTTCTTGGAAAATCGGAAGGGTAGCTGAAAAGCCTTTGTTATTTCCGATTTTTCTAGCAACGATCAACACTACACTGCTACCCTTAAGACATAACAAACACTACCCCACCATAAACAAATTCTAAACCCAGGCTGGAGAACTGAAATTTGTGTACTGCATTCTTCGTACGAGCTATATTTCTTGAGCTAATATTTAGCTGCTTTTAAAATCGAAGACTGAGCTCACAGTTCGCAATGAATTCTCATTTTAGAGAATTTATTTCAATGGCTAATGCGAGATTTTTCAATAGCCGTGTGAGTTTTACCTTTGTTTTTATTTATCACCTCTATTTACATAAACTAATTAACAATTTAAAAAGATATAAAAAGAACAACGTCTAGAAATATTCATATTAAGACTAGGGTGGAACGTAACTGAGATCTAATTGAATTAAACTGTAAAAAGACATGTTTTCATTGTAATCTCCTTCACAAGTCAGTAAATGTTATATTGGTATTCCATATCTGCTGTATAACTCGACCTTTGACACTGCACGTGGAAAAAAAA